CTGTTTTTAATCTAATAAGCTAGGGTGGGAAGAACCCATGATTTGTGTATAGCTATCTAGGCTAATTTTTAGAGTGATGGCTCGAGCAAAGATAAGAGTGCTTAGAGCAATGTTCGTCCATGAGCCACTCACCGCATACACAGAGTCACGAGCTGCCACAGCAAGGATGTCGGCACACGACACCACGCTCCCCCCGCAGGCTTGGTCGACTGCGGTTTTGATCGAATCGATCACCTCAAATCCTCTAGCTGAGTTTGCATTGGCCCTTGAAGTCTTCTCTCCAGTGAAGGTCGAAGTATCGTCAAGAAGGATTGACCCGTCGCAACCCTGCAAATTCAGAATCAAAGAATATATGAGTCGCGTTACACGCACATGTACACACATAGATGAGCCCAACTTGAAGCTCTAGGTGACTGGTTAGACGCTCATGAGTCTCACATTGACAAAGCAATCGTGGAAGTGGAGTCGGAGCAGCGATGCACCCATTCGCGCCTCATTCCGCACGGCGTCCCGAACGATTCTCTGAATCGTTGGCAGAGCCTGAGGACACACTCCATTGTAGAAACCAGGGGAGAGCTGGCCCGAAGCACAAGCAATAAATGCTAGTGTCAAAAGGAAGATAGTACAGAGAGAGTGAGGCGAAGCCATGTCTACAACCAAGGAAAGACAGTAATGAACACTGGTGTAGAGAGCGAGAGGAATTCTTGAATCTTAGTAATACAACACTTGTATAGAGAGAGAGAAGTAGCTTTGATTATAGTGAGAGAGAAGGATGCTTAAATATAAAGAATGTTGGTAATGCAGAGAGAGAGAGAGAGAGGAGAGCTTGAATATAGAGAGAGAAATTGAGGGCAAGATGCAAAGCCAATGCTTGAGTTGATGCAGAGAGAGTTGGGTATTTATAGAGAGAGAGAGTTGAGCAGACTTGCTCTAAAATGTTTTCTTGAAGGACGTCACATTTTATAAGAAAACGTCAATGAAATTTGAGTTTCACGCGTTTGCTATCGGTGCAAGTAATTGTGTATTGACATTCGACCTTTTCTTAGGGAGGATATTGGTCCTCAAGGTATTTATTTAAGTTCTAAACTTATATTTTGTTGAGTTTAATGGGTCTTTGGATGCTAAGTCAATCGGCACACATTGCAAGAAACATATGCAATAAATATTGATTGCTATTTACAATTAATAATTTTGCCAAAAAGATTTACAATTTCTATGGGAGTATACTATCCATCTAGTCTGCTCAATTGTTTTTGGGACTAGATGGTTGTGCCTAGGTTCGATTTTTAATTGCTATTATGCACTTAGCACGGAATTACTCCACCATACAAAATTTCCCCTCTAGAGAAAATATCTTTTAAGGGGTTAAAACTCTCTAAAAACACCTCAAGGAGTCAAAATATCTCAACCATTATTAGAGAGTTTATTTTTTTGTGTTCATTTCAATCAGGTGTCTCTTCAAAAACTAAATTTAATAAATGACCATTACTTTTGATCGACGGTTTAGAATCTAGAAAAAAGGTGTTTCAGTAATTTGAGCCACTTTAAACATCCAAATCCATTTGGTTTGGGATTCCTATATGGGGTGTACCAAAATAATCTCTAGAAAATATTTTCTGAAGAAAGTATATCATGAAAAGCCATTCTTTTGGTCCTCTATTGCTCTCACAAGATGATTGACTTCCTCTCTCTTTCTCTAGCGTTACAAGGTCAAGAGGTTTGCTTTTAGTTTCATAATTATCGTCCCATGATATAAGGGGTACCTGCATGCATATATTTCGCATATTTTAGGCGAGGGACATAACGAAAATTAGATGCCATTCAACTAAATGTTCTTAATAAAATATTTAGGTATTGTAAGAGTGTCAAAGGGTTCATCAGTTAACAATATCTTGGCGGCTTGACGCGATCATGTCAAAGCTACTTCGAGTTCCAACCAATTGCTCTCCTTTTGGGTGGTTTGGATTGGGAATTCTACTTGCTCACCGGTTATGATTGATTATTTATTGGATGAAGGCTACGGGCCGGCTTCACTACCGGCCCAGTTTGACCGACCCTATAAGGAGCTCCAAACCAGCCAGTCCTGGCCTGCACCGGCTCTAGCCTGACCCTACCTAAAAGAAGCCCCAAACCAGACAGTCTTGGCCCGTACCAGCCATGGCCTGACAGCTTATATGAGAAATCGAAACCCGGCACGCCCAGCCCCGACTTAGACTTTCAAAACCCTGCAAACTCGTTCTTGTCTTTTAGAATTTTTTTGCTAGATTTCCTAAATATTAACCTAAAGCTCCTCCCTTAACCAGAAGTTTAATTACCCAACCTATGCTCATATGTTTCGTTTCAAGAACTCCGAGATTCGGAAGCAAGAATCTCGAATATCGAAATCACATTAGGATTATGTACTTAATATGCTAAAACAAAACTAAGTATATACGAAATATAATAACGGCATGGGGAAAAACATTATAAAAACACACAATAAGACGACAAAAATCCACATGGTTCACCATTAAATAAAGAGCTACATCCACAAGAATGATAGACTCAAATTTACCCTGGTGATAGGAATTACAACAAAATTTTGAGGAGACAAACTCATCTTTCTAATCCTCCGCACTACCAAGTCAAAGAACTTTTTAAACCAGATCCATTGGGACGCCACTGCTGACCTTCCATCTCTTTTCTACACCTAACCATTATCTGGGGAGGGAACTTAACAACCACCAAAGACTTACGCATACTAAAAAGGAATACCTCAATCTTGTTCTCTATAATAAACCACCCTCTGTGGAGGAAGAACCATTGCATAGATGAAGGTTATTTTTGTTAATTTTTTTTTAATTATGAAGTTTTTTTTGGAACAAAATGTTTTATACCACTATGATAATTAATGACTATTCCATCCGAGGTGGCCGGGAAGGAGAGATTGCGAGCAGGGAAAGAAAGGGATTCGACGATTGATTAATCAGCCGATCTCACTCGAGATGTGCTGCCTCTAACCAGTCAGGATGTTAGTTGTTGTTGAGTGGGTCAACCATCCCTTACTCGCTCAGACATTTGCGTCTTGACGTTAGGACGTCTATCCCACCGATCCGGACACTGAGGAAGACGGAGTGAGGGCCTTTGTTGGGTTTATGTGGCTTTCAAGGGCCTTATGAGTGTTTGTAAAATGAAATGATATAGCAGAACATGAACTCAATGGGAGTGCGGTCCCTCATAGACCATACTAAGCAAACGATATTTGCAGATATCGGACTATGCTTGACGATCTAGGTCAGTCGGTTGGAGAAACCCATGTCACTTGGGTATAAAGAACAAATTGAGAAGGGTTCTAATGGGTTAGCCCTTGATGAGGTCAGAGAATATGCCCGTATGAGTGAGTCGAGGAACTGTGTGACCCTTGTGTGTGATGGTGACCTACAGAGACGGGGGCCAAAGCCTCATCCATGTGCCATCACACGGTATGCATATCGATAGATCGTTCGAGAAAGCCAGAAATCCACCTTTTAGGGTGAAGCCTATGCATGTGTGAGAGATACCCCTATGTGCCATAGAGTTGTGGTCGCATAAGGTCTTGGTGACCTTGATTTGTCTCTAGGAGATGACTTGAAATCCACAGATTGGGATTGCGATCTATTGGCTTATCGGCTGGACTTTGGTGACCCGCTAATGAGCGCCTGCTTGGACTGTGGGTCATGGGAAAAATTGAGTCAGTCTTATAAAGCAAGTATGGTCTGTAGTCCACAGTTGAAGGTGGAGTGCCCCATGATTGTTGATTCCTAAACTATATGGACCATTTTCCCATCATATTAATTTAATTGTGTTTATTTTATTATTAAAATGATTTTCGTTTTATTATTTGATTTTTTATGAATCTCTCAATATTTTATTTGTGATTTTTTAACTTATAAAAATACAGTTATTGTTCTTACAAAGTTATTAAAATTAAAATATATATTTTATTTTAAATTGTTTTATTCAATTTAAAAAATAATATTTTTTTTATTTTATGGGGGCCCATAGTGTACATGGGCCCCCCATTTGGGATGTGGGTGGGGCCCTACGTGCGCCACAAAAGGGTGGCACGCCCTCTTTGGATTCTCTTGTTTGCTTTTAAGATACGGTTAGTTTGATTGTGGTATGTGGTCAAATCTTGGAAGGGATATATTGACCATGGCTTTATCTATTTTATAGCAAGTTTGTTTTAAAGAGATATTGTCTATTTGTATTGATATGGATCTTATATTTTTTATATTTTATAGTATTTATTTACTTGTTATTATTTGACATATCCTTATGGAATATGTGACATGGATCCTGCAATTTTATAGAATGCATGATATTTATTTTATTTAAATATATTGATGGGAAAATGGTTTAGGAAAGGGAGATAACGATTCATGCACATTTCATAATGTTGATGACCCATCTATGGAATGAATGGCTCATATCTCTCACCCCACAAGTCACCATTGATCGGCGGTCTATGTACAATATCACAAGAAGAGGTAAAAAAAAACCTTAAGAAACCCTAATCTTATTGAAAGCCTATAAAAAGGGATTGTCTCTACCCAAAAAATCTCTACACCTTATCTCTTGTACCCAATTTTCATATTTCTCTTTTATATCCCACAAAAGGGGCATGCACCACTCTCTCATCATTGATCTCTCTATCTCACATTGTGAAAGAACCTAAGGGTTTAAGTTATGGAGTTCTTCTCTCCGATCTCTTAAATATAGATTTACGGCTAAGGGTTTTAGGGCTTAGCAAAAAAAAGAGAATCCATATCTCTCAAACTCGGTTGCTAAGAGAATTCACCTAGGGTTTGAGTTTGCGATCAAAAGGGTTCATGTTCCATTGGTGTGGCTTGGCCGAAATTTGCTTTTTTGGTTCGAGATTGAAGCTAGACCGTTGATCCCTTGCCATTGGATGGTGGTGACTCGTTGTGAGGTGTAATAAACTTGGTTGAGGTAATCTCCGGCACTTTTCTTTTTGTTTCTTTCAACCTTATTGTTTATTATTAAACATAGTGCATAGTTGTTTCAATGGCATCAAGTTGTTAAAATCTTGGTTTTATTGTTGTGTTGATTTTATTTTGAAATTTATCTTATTATAATAAAGACCACCTGTAAGTAATCTTTTGCCCAAAAAAAATGGGTGAAAAAAATAAAATAAAATAAAAATAAATGTATTCCCCGGTAAAAAATCACATAGGTCTTTCTTTCAGTCTTGAGCAAAATGATAAAATTATTTTTGGATTAATTTTGGCAAGGCAAATTTTAGTTAGTTATAAAATAGTTACAAAGTTGTGTGCGAGTGTTCACCCCAAATATGCTAAAACTAACTCTAACCTAGAATAGCAAAATCAAGAATGGCTTGATGACTTGGTGGCAGTATTGTCGAGCCCCATGGTGAGATCTCTGATACCATTCTCATCAAAAGGTTGGGGTCCAAATCCCCACTGACTTACCACTCTTAATTACCCAAAAAAAATCTAAAATAGAAAAATCAAATAAAACAACCCCCATCCAAGTGCGGTTTCTTACATTCTTTAATATGAACAATTCCAGCCACCTCAGATTAAGCGTGATTTACGTACGGACCATAAAATTTTAAGTAAAATATGAAATGCTTCACTTAATTTAGGGTTTATTGAAATTGCCAAACATCAAATGCTCCCAAAGAACTATCATTTGAATACATAATCATGATAGTCAAACTCCATATATAGCATGGGGTGCATTTCCTCGAAGCTATGGAATTTTGTCTATCTCTATTACGGGACGCAGCCGAGTCCACTGGGACTTACCGTGTCACTTGGCCTTGCCTATATGGGCCGGCCAAGTTGCCCCGAGTTGAATGTATATAAATAATAATAATATTATTAACCCTCAAAATACTTAAGACAATTGTATAAATGTTTTACATATAATTTGGATTTTGTTGTGTCCATCTACTTAAGATGAAAAATGATGAAATGGGTCATTGTTTTGCTTTTACTATTAGAATTCCTTTGTAGGTGATAAGATGAGAGAGAGTGGACATAGGTAGGCTGACCATGTGTGGGGTACATCCAATACAACACATGTTAAGAGTGAAAGTTAGCTCAAGTGGAAGTCAAAAAAGGGACAAGAGTTAAACCCAAAAGCACATGGTTAGAAGTAGTGAGGAAATATATGGGGCCTTATAGCCTCTCTGAGCGTATGACCCTTAATAGAGCAGAATGGCAGGCCAAGGTTCGTGTAGCCGATCCCGATTAGTTGAGAAAAGGCTTTTAACGATGATGATAACGATATATATATATAACGCTAGTCTAGATTGGGTCTGGGTCCATGGGAAACTTGGTCAAGTCAGGGTTGACCCCGACCCTTTGCAACCCCTAAACGCATGGTTTCAAAAAGTTTGGAAGACCCTGCTTCCATTATTGCAAGTTCCTAGATCTTCATAAGATTCCCTTCGTTGCAAAGAACACTAATAAATTCATCCGGCTAATCCCTTAACACAAATCCGTGTATGTATATATTTAATTTCTAGACCCCAACTCCGGATCGGGTCTGGGCACATGGGAAACTTGGTCTGGTCAGGGTCGACCCCGACCCTTTGCAACCCCTAAACGCATGGTTTCAAAAAGTTTGGAAGACCCTACTTCCAGTATTGCAAGTTCCTAGATCTTCGTAAGGTTTCCTTTGATGAAAATAATACTGCATAAATTCATCCAGCCAATCCCTTAACACAAATCCATACATGTATATATTTAATTTCTAGACCCTAGTCTGGATCGGGTCTTGACCCATGGGAAACTTGGTCAGGTCAGGGTCGACCCGACCCATTGCAACCCCTATTGCATGGCTTCAAAAAGTTTAGAAAACCCTGCTTCCATTATTGCAAGCTCCTAGATCTTCATAAGCTTCCCTTGGATGAAAGAATACTGCACAAATTCATCCAGCCAATCCCTTTAACGCAAATCCCACCCCCTTCATACATCGCTCAGTCTCTTACCCAGCTTAAACGAGCTCTTAAACTTGGAAGAAGGCACATTGAAGAAGACAATAAATAAAGGGCATAGTAAAAGAAAACTCATATTACCAATAGTCATGGCATTTATTCATCAACTTTTATTCATTAATTCTCAAAATACATATAAAAAATCGTCATGATTGAAACCTTGAGTGGTCCATTAATCAACATTCCTGGAAAACAGTTAGAACAGACACTTGCACAAAATACAATTCAAGCTTTTTAAACCTTCACTATAAGAGCACCCACAAGCCATCAAACCTAAAACATAAGAAAAGCCACAAGTTCCCACCCCATTTGAGAGAGAGTCACAAACACAATTCTTAGTTCACCTTTCTACAATTCACACGGATCTCACCCTGGGTTCCAATAAGAGGACTTATAGTGCTCATTTTCACCATAGAGTTAACAAAGTCATTCCCAAAAACCCTAGGGAACCTGGCATATTGCCTCACAATACCATCAGCAGAGCCACCATTGAAGAGCTCCTGGTCAGAGTGAAGCAGTCCCCTCCTTTGAATCAAGTCACCAAAATAGCGTGCATCAAAGCTAGTAGGTGTGCCATCCAATGGTGCCAAGTTGTTGTCTCCCCCAGAAACAGGGCATGAGCCTCTTCTCTGGTTTGCAAAGGTTTGATCAATGTTGGTGTCATTGTATATGCGTCTACGGAAGGTTGCACACCGAGCAAGGCCGATGGTGTGCCCGCCGGAGAGGGCGACGAGGTCACGGGTGTTGAGACCATGGCTTTGGAAGTTGGAGATGAGGGCTGAGAGGTTGGCAAAAGGAGAGGGGATTTGTGTGTTTGCTGCGCTCAAGCTAGCCGTTGTTGAGTCCCTCCTCCCAAGTGGAACTTGCCATGAGGGGCCTCCCAACTGTAATCAAAGGAAATAAGAAGACTTTGTTAGAGAACTGTTGGAAATTACAGCTATTTGTAAGCGTAGTGGGGGCCAAATACCCACTTACTTACCTTCTAGTTACCCAAAAAAGAAAAATATATCGGTGTAGGTGCACCACATCTGGGTTTCCAACCCATCAAGTTTGTCCCCAAAAAGTCCAAAACAACTAAGTATGTGGTGATCCAATGTAGGGAACATAGGACCGCCAAATACAAAAGAATGCATTAGAGCGTAGGGCAGTTTGATATTTCATAAATCCGACCTCCCAT